GAAAGACTTCAAGTTGAAGGTGGAACATGAGCTGTGCTTTGAAGAAAGCTAAGGATTCTAAGAGGCAAAGGTAAAAAGGAAGTGAATTCCAAACATCACCTATGCAAAGCTACAGAGGCAAGGGATGGAATGTTGTATACAAGGGCATTTAGCAGGTAGGTTTGCTTGGAACAGAGTACATAAAAGGAGATAATAATCCCGGAAAGGCTGATGGGAGCTGGGAAGGATTTTATATTTTATCCTAGAGGATAAATTCAAATGGGGGGTGACATGACCTGGTCAGATATGTGCTGGTAATAAAATTGGGGCAGCTGTGTGGAAAACTGAGTGGAAGGGAGATATGGAATTAGGGAGATCAATCAGGAAGCTGCTGCAATAGTAGAGAAGAGATGAGGGCCTCAAATAGGATAGATTCAATGCATAAGTCAGAGATGGGAGATACTATGGAGGGGGAAGAAGAGAGAGGGAGAGGGAGGGGGAAGAGAGAGAGAGAGGGGGAAGGAGGGGAGAGAGAGAGAGAGAGAGAGAGAGAGAGAGAAGAATGACTCCAAGATTGTTAACAGATGAAACTGATGGTGGTGTTATCAAAAGAAATGCTAAGTTTGGAAAGTGGGATGTGGAGATAAAAAGAAAGGATTCCACATTGGACGTGTTAAGTTTAAGATGACAAGAGAACATGAAGGTAGACAAGTCCAGCAGACAGCTGGTAATCTTGCACTGAATTTCTGAGAAATTAGGACCAGATATATGGATTTAGGAGTCACATACAGAAAGATAACTGGAAGCACAGGAGCTAAATAAGATTACCAAGAGTATATTTAGAGAAAGCCTAGAATAGTATCTACATAGTGCATGACATAAGCATGATGATTTAGCAAGGAGGAGTAATAAGAGCAATATGAAGAAAACCAAGAAAGGGTAACATCACAGGAACCAAGGGAGATGAGAACAACCAGGAGAAAGATGTGGCTGACAGTATCAAAAGATGTAGGATCAATAAAGATGTAGACTGAGAAAAGGCCGCTGGATTTTGCAGTTAAAAGCTTACCAGTAACCTTGAAAAGAACAGTTTCACTACAACAGTAGGGTTAGGAAAAAGAAGAATGAGAGGTCAGGAAATGGAGCCAATGAATACAGAGCCATTTTAAAACTTACTGCAGAGACAGTAAGAACTCTCTTCCTCCTCAGAACTTCTATAGCACTTACATTTTGTAAACATCAACTCAAGTGTAAGACTCTTGAAGGCAGAGAATATATTATATTTCTCTGTGTCCAAAATAGGTTCTCACCTCCCCAGAAATAAAATGTCTGAGTACAACACAGACTATCACTTCTTCAGGGATGTAAACTCTGCTCCCAGGTGCCTTGTTTCATAGAGGTCAGCTTTTGCCATATCTTGCTAGGGCCCAAGACTCCACACCACAGCCCACTGCAGCATGTAAAACTTTCTTGCCAGCTTTCCTTTATCTGTTATCTTCCTCCTCATCCCCATTAGAATGTAAGGTCTTTAAAGATAGGGACTATTTTGTTTGCTTGTATTTGTAGCCACAGCACTTAGTTGGCCCATATTAAGTGCTTCATAAAGAAGATGGCTAGCTATCTTAAAAAATATTATTTGAATGACTACTGTTGCTCAAATCAAAACTGCCCAGAACAAATATCAAAGAAAGAGGCTTTACAGTATGTTTGGGGGAGCACTTTGTCTCCTGGATCTTCTTTCTGTTTTTACCACCTGTTGGGGATAATTAATGATAATCACAATGCCACATGGGAAAGAGGGGGAAGTTAGGGAAGCATGAAATAAGAGAGCTATTTGGTCTTTTCTGTACTTTTTATATTATTGCCTTAATGCTGCTTTTGCCTTTTAATTCCTTTCAGTGAAACACCAACTACTGTTCCTTTTGAAGGAAAATCTTTTTAAAAAAAGTACAAAGCACCTCCCTTATTTATGAATTAAACACCTGATAATGAATTTGTCTCTTTTGATCCCATGCTTAGAGCCAGACCCTTTCTGAGCTGAATTAGTGAACATGTACATCACAGGAACATGTACATCCTGTTGCCCTAGGTCTTTTTCACAGCCCTGGGAGTCTCTGGAAAACAGCAACTGCTTAGAAGACAACAGGCATGCCTTTAGTTAAATCACAGAGAAAGTTGGTGGGATATTGTATTGAAATTACCTCAAACGTCTTTTCTAATCCTAAGAGTCCATGAGTTTATGAATGTTATCAGATATTTATAAATTAATTTCATATAGTTGATTTTCATACTGAAATTCAGTGACTGTGTTTTGGTCAAATTTCTTTTCAATGGGGGTTGAGAAAATGGTATATCAAAGGAGGAAAACAAAAGGGTCAGAAAAGTACATTAGCCAATTCATTTGTCTTCACAAGTTATCATAGGTAGTCAGCAAGACCCAGGATCAAAAATATTCAAAGAAACACTAACCCAGAATTTTAAATTTAATATATTCTGCTACATGTTTAAAGTTACATGACTGATATTTATCAAAAGTCTATTAAAAAAAGAAGGCTTAACTGCACCAACACCATGCCGATTGAGCCAAGCCATATCAACTGAGATGATAAAAATTTTCTCTTAGGATCCAAGGAGCCAAAGAACATGCCAGTAAGTATACTCACTAATGGTTCGAACAGGCTTCTTTATTAGGAACAAATGTGCCACCTCTGTTTGCATTCACCCCTGGGGATATCAGCCCTCCTGAAATCTGAGATACATGGCAGCACAGATGTTACCAGAGTTTCCACCAACTGGGAAAGTAGTGTAAGCATCCATAAGGACCCAAGCCCCTAAGTTGTGACTGCCCCTCCAAACAATTGGTACCTTCATGCCATTTATTAGTCACACTGCCTGGGAAATCCTGATAAGAATGGAGCCTTACAAAGTAGGTGAAAGTCCAGATTTCATCAGTTACATCTGCACTGGGTAAGCAGTCTCAGTATTAAAAGAATCACAGACCAAGAGCTGGAAGCAACCCTGAAGGTCATCATGTATAGACTAAGAGAGCAAATAATCAAAAAATGTCTAAATGGCAGCAGTGTGTCACACAGTTCACATAGACCTTCAAGGTCTATCCTGTTAATGAGGTCTTCTGGACCAACTCACAATGAGTACAACAATGTCACGATAAAATACTGAGATAACTTATCAGGGCAACCCTAAATTATTACTGTGTGGACACAGAAACTTCAAGAAGCCCAGTTTGCCCACTTACTCTTTTATTCCATGATCAATCAACCAACCACTAATTATCATCTATCAGCAAGTATTTTTTAAAGCTCCAACTATGTGCAAGGCACTAAGAGTACTGGGGATATAAATACGAGGAATGAAATAGTATCGATAGATACCAACTGGACAGATAAGTACATGTATAAATATAAACAACAGACATAAAGAGAACAAATACAAAGTAGTTAAATTCTAGGCAGTTTAAGAGGGAGGGCATTAGCAACTGAAGGGAACCAGAAAAAACTTTTAGAAGGTAGTATTTGAGTTGAGTCTTGAAGGAAGAGAGGAATTCTATGAGAAGCAAGAAAGGAAGGAGTGCACTCCAAGCATCTGGATGAACAGTACAAAGGTAGAGACAATGAAGCATTGTGTATATAGAGAACAGGCCAGGGTGGCTAGATCATAGGGTGTAGCAGAAGTAATGTACACTCAGGATGAAAAGACAGGTTGAGGTCAGATTATGAAGGGCTTTAAAACTAAACCAAGGAACTTACATTTGAGCCTACCAGCAATAAGGTGCCACTGTGTTTACTGAGTAGGGGAGTGACCTGGTGTCACTGTGCAATAATCTGCTGAAGATGGGAAGGAATGGAGTCAAAGGCACGTGCCCTCAGCATTTATGCATGCTATGTAATTTGCACTTCTATTACTCTTGGCTGTTCTTCAGTATATTTTTATGCTTACATATTACTAAAAGGTCACATAGCATTTCAGATAATCACAGAATTTTAAATGTTAGAAGGGACCTCGGAGGCCATCTACTTCAATTCATACCTGAACAATCTCCTCTACAACACACAGGCAGTCATCTAGCTTTTTCTTAAAGGCCTCCAGTGAGGAGAAACTCACTACTTACTGAGGGTCAGCCCAACCCACTCCCCATAATCTGTTATGATGTTTTTCCTTTCATTTAGTGTAAATCTACCTTTCTGCAATAACTCCTATTTCTGCCATCTGGGAACAAGCAGAATGAACCATATCTTTCACAGCCCTCTCAAGTACTTAAAATATTTACCATGTCCTCCATGAGTTCTCTCTTCCTCAAACTTAATATTCCCAGCTTTTTTTACATAATTGCCATAAGACATGATAGAGCTTTACCATACTGGTTGCACTCCTCTGGAGACCCTCCAGCTTATGGTACCAATTTCCCCATTTCTGTTACATTTTCCCAAAGCACTTGTTATGAGATGAAGCGCACGGTACAAACTGGCTGACTCTGAGCTTCAACAGTAATACAAGAAGTAGAAGCAGACCTTCTGAGGTCCCTCTATTACTGTGGCAGAGGTTCTTAACCTGGGGTCCATGAAACTTTTTTTAAAAATATTTTGAGAACTATATTTCAATATAATTGATTTCCTTTATAATCTTATGTATTTTATTTTATGCATTTAAAAATATACTTCTGAAAGAGCTTCATAGGTTTCATCAAGTATGCCAAAGGGGTCCTTGACAAAAAATATGTCAAGAACCTATGCTCTTTGGACAATATGGATAAGATTAAGAGTTGGGATAGACCTTAGAAATCATATAAGCCAATACTCTCATTTTAAATACTGGAAAACTAAGACTCCAGAAAGGAAGTATCCTGAACAAAGTCACAGAGATCACTTCTTAGCAGGGGCAAAAATGTTAATACTAAGTTCTTTCTTTTTTCTCAGAACCCTCAGAATCCCTAATGTAAGACAGTCAAGTGAACTGAGGTGCTTACAACCATTAACAAGTTAAAAAGAAAAATATTCACTCACCAGGCTTTTGATCCTGTCCCAGTACACAAATTGAGTCCTGAACTCTTCTGTTTTTCCCAGGGACCATCATCAACTGAGATTTCATAGTAGGAAGCCCTATGAATTGAAAATGTAAAACTGGGTTTGCAGGATTTATAGTTCACCCTGAGTAAAACAGAACATAGCCCACTATTAGAACCACTGAATTCTAAATAAGTAAATTCTAAATTAGGTAAAGGTACTTCGTGGTATTGTGACTGTAACACTGATACAATTTTTGTTTTAAAAAATAAAATCATCTCCTACCTTGTCTGACTCATTGTTCCTTTTCTGCAATTGTTTTTTTTATTTCTAACAGAAGTTTCTTCAGGTAATTTTTGGAGTAATTTTATTTCCTGTCCTCACAGCATCTAGCAAAATGATTCACCTCATCACCCAAAAGAACATAACTTTTAAGTGGACTTCATTTCTACAAGGAAATGAATACTTATTAAATATTGCATCTAGCAGTTCTTGAACCAAGTTAAATGAGAACTGCTTATATCTTAATTGATCTACTATGTTTGCCTTTGAACTGGCCAATAACAATAATACTTGGTTAGAGTCCAAAGAAAATCTTAACCACTTCTTACAAACTTAATGTAGCACTAGGTAAAGCTGGCAATGAAAAGGAAATAATGTGTTCTTAATAGATATATTTTAGTTTACAAATCTAGAATCAAATAAGTTACCTTTACCTTTAAATGCAAGTGAAAATTTTAAATTGAAATGTAATTTTGAATGATTTCCAACTGTTGGGGAGTTTCTGAAAGATGCCATTATTAGTTGCAGCGGATATTATCCTTGGCAGAGAAAAGTAATCATTTTAACAGAAGTGAAGGAAAACTCTTTGTAGGTGCAGCCTTTTAAGCAATTAAACATGTCTGTCACATTGCTACAAAGGAGAGAACTATCTTCCAGCACAAATGTTTTTGTTACTTCTAAAAGTGCTCAATTTGGTCAATATCTCACATACACTTAATTCTTCCTACAAAACACAAGGTTCTGCTCTCCTTAATATTTTCTCTTTAATCATAGCCCTATTTGGTCTGTGTAGAAAATGGACAGTGAGGGTAGCATATTTACTGCACATGTCCAGACAAACAAGGCCCGAATAAGGAGTAGTAATGGCTGTCACCAAACCGAGAGCAAACACAGAAACGGGATTAAAGGTATGTGGAGATAGGAGACACAAAAAGGAGAAGAGAAAGTGATGCAATAAACCAAAACCATATGAAGGTAAAAAGCAGTGCAGCACAAGCCAAAATGTCCTGAAATAATAGTTAAGGATATTGTGATGGCAAGATAGGAAATTTAAGGGAATGAGAGAAGAAGAAATTAAAGAGGAGGGAAAAGGATTTATTAAAGAAGGTAAGAAGGAAGGTAGGGCCAGAGTAAGACAACACAAGAGAAGGTGATTAGAGTCTGGAGGAAAAAAAGACTAAGAATAAAAGAAAAGGGCACAGGGAATACTACAGATTATGCTGGACAAATTAATGTGATTACCACATGCAACTTAACAAAAGATTAATCAATCCTCAGAACTTTGTTCCAGGAAAATGATTTTTTAAAGAAACTCACAGTCCCTTTAGAGTGGTTATACCTCTTCTTACACTGTCCACAGCGACAGCCCAAGAATGAGACATTCTAGGTTAGGACAAATGGGAAAAAATGGGCTTTTTGGGTTGTTTTATGGGTTAAGTGTTCCTCACTTTAAACATACCTTATGATTATCAATGAGGCACAATTATTAGGAACATGCAACACTTTGAAAATACAGAGCAACCTCACAATCAGTATCTACGTCAGACACCATGAAATAGAAATTCTTCGGGTACAATAACCAAAATCTCTTGCATACAGTTGAGGACTGAACCAATATACACCAAATTTTACTCTAATGAATGGCATCACAAATGGATAGGCCATAGTCTTTCTTACAAAATACAGTGCACAGAATGTCTGTGATGGCAGGCTTTTATTTAATAATGTGAATAATAGTATAAGAAGCAAAGGGACCAAAAAAGCAGCATGAGTCCTATCTGTTCAAAAGAGGAAAGTGAAACTAGATGTTTCCTTCCAGGGATAATAACCTATGAACCTATGAAGTAACAAGGGGCCTGGACAGCACAAAAATACTTGAAGGAGTAACTTTCTCCAATTTCCTTCACAGTTTTCTCCTTCTCTATTAAAGGTAGAGAGACCAGGTATATAATTAAATGGAAAAAAATGTTATCGTATTACTGCCAGCACACAAAAATATACATTACTGATCTTATTTCACTTTAGCTTTGTTAGGCCTTATTAATATCTGTCTTCATAAAATAATTACTATACTGAAACATACAGATTAAACCTATTACAATACAAAAGATAATCAAATTTTTATTGAGTCAGCATTTTGTCCTACACAATACTGCCTGAGGTGAGTGAACATACAGTTTGATGAATTATTTTTTTTCTCACTGTAAATATCAATTGTGACAAGACCTGATCTGCAGCAAATCACAGACTTTATGTAATTACTGGAGAATTCAGACATGTACTAAGAGGAAGAAAGATACTTATAAATGATTCCTAGTGGTTGCAAGAAAGCAAATAATCATGCAAAGAGATAGCTGTTAAGTCTCAATTTCCTACTCTTTGCAATAAAATTAGCAAAAGGATGGGAAATTATACAAACACAGGAAGTACCATCAACAGCTAAATCAGCTTTATATTATTTTATACACCATCCGAGCTTCTCAGAACGATAATGTTTCCCTGATATTTTCTAAATCTATGATGCAAACTTAAACAATTAAAAGTCTGGAAGCAATCAAAATAGAGGAATGAACTTGAAAGAAAAGAAAAAATGAAAAAATACAAAATTAAAATGGAATTAAAATGTATATTCCATGCAAAAACATTAATTCATCAACTAAAGGGGTAAAAAAAATCTTTCAAATTTATGTTTTGAAAATTCAATAAATTTCCAAACAACTATGTAACAAACATAAAAATGACAAAATTAAGAGCAGAAGTTTTAACATACCTGGATGACAGACTCTCCCCAATGAAGACTTCATTTAGTGCTCTCACTGGCAAAAGTTGTGGCCCAGAAACCTCAGATCCTGCAGGCAATGAAATATAAGTGGCCAAGATATTTGCTAATATTAACTTTATAATGCATGTATATTAACCTATATATGCATGTGTGTGTAGACACAGACATACAGGAATGTTTTAACATGAAATTTATATTTAGTAAGATTATCCCTCTATTTTTGAATTTGGAAATATGCACATTAAATATACACCAATTAAATAAATTTCTTCTGAGACAAAATTCAAAATGCCACCCTTTCTCCAAAAAGGTAAGTCACCCACATGATAGCCACATCCTCTGTCTTCAACAATATTAACTTTGAGTACCTCTTTACAAACTTTTTAATACTGATATCTGACTCACAAGTCCTACTAACCATACTTCTCTTAGGTGTTTTACTACAGTGTCTGACAAGTGAAAACATTTTATTTTTACAAGCAAAGTAAGCACAACTGACTCTAAAAACATATTTGAAAGTTCAGATTTACAGGAAAAAGTAAGGGTAGTCATTTGATTATCAAAATAATTCTTCAATTTACCATTCAAAAAAATCTTATGATAAGTCATTTTATGATATTTATCGTCTTATGGTAAATCCTCTCACAAAAAAATCTAAATTATAAAAATTCTATTCACAGAACTTTTAGGGAATGTACATATAACATACATCAAGACACACCTATATTATCTAATACCAACCAATATACCTGCATATATGTTAAATGCCTCATGGCTAAAAAAAAAAAGAGACTTAAATTTACCATCTTCAGTACCACATAAAAGATATGCAAAAATTGTACTGGATAATTTATTAGATGCACATATGAAAACAAAAGTCTTTACCAGATAAAGAGCAAAGTGTTTTGAATTTCGAAAAATTCTGTCAAAATCTCTCTCTATACTCAGAGAACAAGTCACGCCAAATATCTCTATCGTTAATCTGAACCTGTCACCATTTTCTTTACTCTTAACATGTTACTAAGATAGTTAAGCCTCCAACAAACTCAAGAATATTCACAGCAAAGATTCAGAGCTGTATCTAGTCCAACCCCCTGATTTTAGATATAAGAATAAGGCCCATGGGGTTAAGTGACCCACTCAAGGTCACACAAGTAATAAGTGGCAAAACCAGGATTCAATCCCAGTTCCTACACAAAGAAATATCCTCCTTTACTAAAAATAGAAAAAACACAAAAGGCAAAAATAGTATTACATCCCAAACATTCGTTTTTTTCCCCCAAATGCAATCACTAGAAGAAAAATGAAGCAACAAATCCTGTCAATCAACAGAAAAATTCTGAATTCAATGTTCTATCCATCCTTTAAAAAAATCAATTCAAATACCACCTCAAAGATCAATATCAATTCAGGCTAGATCCTTGGGGGGATTCTATTAAATCTAATATGGATACTGGCTATGATAAAGATACTGGTTATTGTAAGCTATGATTATTACTGTCCTTTTTATTTGTTATTTTTCCTTTGGAAAGCAAAGTTTCCCACCTGACTATTCCTGAGTTTGGCTATGGGGAGAAACAGACACTGCATGATTGGAAAATTGCAACTCTATCTGAATTTAAACAAAGCTAAGGACATGTTCCTGCTCTTTTTCTTTCTATAGTAAGTCTCTATAATCAGAAGGTTTTATAAGTACAGTAACAAATTTACTAAAATAATTGATTATGGAACATCTTGGGTTATAGAACTGGGACTGTGTTCTGGTATGAGTTAGGGTTTTATGGTTCTCATTGATAGCAGTGAGTGGAGTCATACTACTCCCAGTGTGTGTCCCTTGCATGACTACTATACAAAGGACACTCTCTAGGATGATTACATTAAAAAGAACCTGTCAGTGAGTCCATAAGACTAATGATATAGGGGAATCAAGGGTGGATGGCAGTCAGTCAGGAAGAAGAGTGAAGGTTAAACCCTGATGAAACAGCAAACAGGGAGGCTGCAGAAACTTACCAGTTTTGGCGTGAGAAACTTTCAACTATGAAATGAGAGGGGGGACTGTGTGGGACAAGTGAAAGTTTCTCATGTTAAATAGAAGCTATGCCCCAAAAATTTAGTTAAGGCTTTAGCTGGGCCTAAGTTTCATTTTCCTGTAAAGAAGCATGTGATCAGGTCACACATCTGTTGCCCATCCCCTCCCTTGTTTTGTAACCACCACCCCAGCCTTATCTTTGCCAAATAAGGCAATCTTCTAGCTCCCACAAGCTTGTTTTGGGTAAAATGTATCTCTGAGTTTCTGGGTAGAATGTAAGGTCTCTTACCTCAATCAATGAGGATAAAGAGATTGAAGTAAACATGTGTGGGGGGGGGTTCCTTAGAGTTGTTCGTGTAAGGGTATATAACTGCTTGTTTGCTTCTTGTAGCCTGCCTCCCTACTCCACTCCACCCTGGGTAGGTGATACCCAATTCTCGCACGAGACTAGCTAGAATAAAACTTCTGTTTCTACTGAGAAAAACCTCTGAATTTTTAATTGGGTAAGTGGTCTCAATCCCACTCAATATGAAAGACTGATCCAGATAATTAAGAAGAGAAATACAAATCAAAACAACTCTGAGGTTTCAGCTCATACTCAGAAAATTAGCAAGATCATATCTACAATGAACGGGGCTTTAAGAAAGCCAATATACTAGTGCACCATTGGCAGGTGTATGAATTAGTCCAACCAGAGAAATGTGAAATTTTGCAATAACAAAAAAAAAAGATTAAAATGGCCATGCCCTATAAACCAGAGATCACGCCACTATGCATATACATACCCCAAGTACATCTGGGACAGAACTACTATCAAGAAAATGGAAACCAAGTTCATACCCAATGACTGGGGAATGGTAAAAGAAATTGTGATCCATAAACATAATTGAATAATATTGCATTGTAAAAAAAAACAAATAAAAAGAATTCAGAGAAGCATTATTTGAACTTCTGTACAATGAAGTTGAACCAGAAAAATAATATACACAATAATCACAGCAATATAAAGGGAATGACCAATAAAACAAAACTGAATATTGTGTAAATTAAAATGACTAATAGAAGACTTAAGAAAATGTACCTGTCTTCCTTCATTACAGAGGACAGGGACTTGAGGTATGAAATATTGTGTAGGCTGTCAGACTACAACTAACTAATGTGTTGAATGACTTTGCCAAACTCCATTTTTTTCCTCTTAAAAAAAAAATCTACACAGGATGCTTGCTGGATGAAGAGGTGTAGTAAATACAGAACTGGCCTAGAAATCAGAAAAATCTAGGTTCAAATCTTATCTCTAACACATATTGGGTCTGTGATCTTGGGCAAGTCACAACCCATCACTGCTCTAAACAACACAGACTCTAAGTTTCAAAAAGGTGCTGACCTCCATTAGTACAGCTGCATACACCAGTGAAATAACAGCTCCAGATACTAATCCTATGAGATTAAAAGATGCAAGCTCTCTGAAGATACGGTCTATTTCATTAAAGGCATTCTATAAATATTTATATAAATAAATTGAAAGAGAATCACCTAAATACATATCCTCAATGAGGGTAGTAGTAAAGAACAGGTAGATTTTTGTAAACAATATTTTATAGCAGATCACATCTTTACCATTGAACAACTGCCTGAAAAATACAAAAGATTACAAGATTCCCCAGTGCTTATTGTTTGATTTTTTTAAAGCATTTAATTCAGTCGAGTTACATGCCAAATTAATAAGCTTTCTTCTAGCAAGGTTTCTCTCATCCATACATCTTTCAAAATTTCTTGAAAGACATACTATAAATAACTTTATTTATGACCTCAAAGTCAACAAACATCAGGAAATTTATAAAAAGAGGGGATATATTTTCAACAAAAGTGCTTTTCCCTTTGATGGAGGAGCTCCAGTCAAATGCAAGATTAAGAGGGAATCTCTATGGATGGTAAGAAGTCATTCACTTTTTCCCATTTGTGGATGAAACTGTCAGTGTTGGTTCATCAAGCCCAGAACCATTACTGAGCCTCCTGAAAGAGAATCACAATCACTCAAGAATTTGATCTGATAATCCACAAAGGAAAAATCAAGTGTTTGAAAATGTCTACTGCCCAAATTATGACATGAAGAGCTTTTTCATTCATGTATTATCAGCAACAGATGAGACAAAGAGACAATAGGCTGGGCTCAAAGTTAAGCTAGATTGACCCTAGGAAATTAAAAAACTCCTTAAATGATCCAAATCTTCCAGAAATAAAGGTTCATTTTTTTAATACTAATATTCTACTGGTGTTGTTAAACAGCTATAAGACAAGAAATACAGCCCCCAAAACCTGAAAAAGAACATCACACATAGGGCAATGGGGCCACAAATGGTAGATAAGAGTAGGCTACAATGTATAAGACCTTTAAAGAAGAGAAGTAAAGGATAGCATCAGCGAAAATACATAATCATAAAAGAAGATGAGTTGGCCATATGGTGAGGGTGAAAAACAGGTGGATAGTCTAAGTGTTCCCACCAGTATCCTTAAGAAGTCAACAGAAAGGCCTCCCAGCGGTGAACTTGTGGGAAGGACAAAGGCAAAGAATCACAGAGAATGGGCAGGCATGGATCAGTTATGATCTCTATCAATGAAGGGCACATCTAAACTGATGAGATCATGGATTTATTTGAATATGTTCAAAGGAGGATAGAGGGAAAATTAAGACATACCCTCCCTGTTCTCTAATTTGGAATGGGGCGGCTCAATCTTCTAAAATGTCTCTGTTGAATTTATATCTGTCAAATCTCTCGCCCTTCCTGCACCCCCAATATATGCCTTTTTAGCAGGTAGAAGGGTTAGAATGATGCCTTTTAATTGCTAAACACTGTTACTGTGGCCTGGGATCAACCAGAGATCCATTGCAGCAAAAAGATTTTCTCCAGAACAGTGATTAAGCAGGCTTAATTTAAATTTTTAACAAATAGCATTGCTCTTACCTCCAAGTGCCCTACTATGTCTCCAGATTTGCTCTTATAACATACCAGGGATAAAATTACAGAGGAAAAATTTTAAGTATAAAACTATTTACCACAACATATGACTGAAGATATAGCCATCTATAATTCTATTAATATTATATTATATTCTCTAACTAGAGAAAGAAAACAAATTTGGAATTGAGATACCTCAAAACATTTGCAATAAAATGGATTAAAACATACAACCCAGAAGATAAGTCTACTCACTGAGACTTATTCAAATGAGTTACACGTCATGCAGATGGTAGGGATAAAGAGAAAGCTTTTTATATATTTAAAGGTCTATCAATGAAAAGTCTAATTTCAATGCCTTTTAATGGTACGTAAGTGATCCTATATCATCCTAGCCCATTCCACTAAAATGTGGGGCTCCAGCAGGTCCTTCCTAATTGTAAAAGATTCAATGTTATCAGTCTAGCAAAAGCTTAGCTAAATCTAGTGAATTAAGCAAAGACATGTACTTTATGTAGACTCAATTCATTCAACATTATTAAAAGTGCCTATTATGTGTCAGGCACTGTGCTACTTAATGGGAATATGAAGACAGAAATAAAATAGACCTTTCCCTTTAAACAGATAACATTCTCCTATAAGTGTTTAATTTTACTAGAATATCAGTAAAATGTCAGAAGTGGGGAACCTGTACCCTCAAATGTCACATACGGCCTTCTAGGTCCTTGGGTGTAGCCTTTTGACCGAGTCCAAGTTTTTACAGAACAAATCCTTTTATTAATGGGACTTGTTCTGTGAAGTCTGGATTCAGTCAAAGGGCTGCATTTGAGGGCTTAGAAGTGCACATGTGGCTTTGAGACTACAGGTTCCCCACCCCTGTGTGAGATTATGTGCTGCCTCCAAATCATCATTCAATTATACAAAACATTTAGAATTTAGAAGGCATTTGTGCTAGGCAGTGGAGACACAAGACAAAAATAAAACCATCCCTGAGTTCAAGGAACTTTCTTTCTACTGGAGGGATACTGACCTTATAAAAAAATACAAAGTAATTTGAGAAGGGAAAGAGTTCTAACAATTAGAAAAACTTTAGAGAAGACTTAACATTTGAACTTATCCTTGAAGGAAGGAGATTCCAAGAGATAAACTGAAGACATAGTACAATTCAAGCATAAAAAATGGTGCTGGTATAAATGTACAGGGAACAGGAGACAGAGCACTAGCTGAGGTACAGTTAGTAGCGCTATCATGCTGGAATGTATCAACAGGAGCAATGTGAAATATTACTGGAAAGAAAAGATGGAACTAGAATGTAGAATGCTATAACTTTTAGGCTTAAGAGTATACATTTTATCCTAAATGCAACAGGCAACTCTGAAAAAAGGACAGATAGTAAGACTTGTGCTTATGAAAAAAAACTTTGGCAGTTACGTTGACAATGGATTGGAGAGAGGAAAGAATGGAAGCCAAATCTGAGTGGACAGATAGTGACAGATGCAAGAAACAGTAAAAAGCCTGGAATGATTCTGAAGTTATGACCAGACTGAGGATAGTCGGGCCTTCAACAGAAATCTTGAGAGATGAGTTAGAGAAAGAGTAGATTTGGGGTGAGGGAGCTGATATTTGCAAAAGCCAAAAATAAATATATGGTACAATGATGTCACAGCTGGAAGGAAATATATGTGAAGGTAGCTTCTATGATAAGTGGTTGAAAAATCTATGTCTGGCATCTGCTAAAAAAAATACATTCACATTCTCTGATACATCCAATTCTTAATTACCTATGCTAATGGGAGGGAAAAGGGAAATCATAAATGAATGAAAAATCTTTATTTAACTCCAAAAAGCATTCACAACTAAAGTCTCCTGACTATTTGATGGAGGGTTCTCTTAACAGTTTTAAGTACTTTATTTAAGTAATAAATTATAAAGTACCTCAGAACAGACAAATATAAAAAAGTTGATGTAATCTCCTAATTGAGAACAAAAGGCCAATGTAATCTGAAATGAAGTGTGATATTGACAAATTAACCCACTCTGATCATGAATTCTTGTGCTGTTGAGAGCCTTGCTGTGCTGATCCAAACTCAGCTGCTGTTCATGGAGATCTACAGGAATTGGGTTTATTCCAGTTCCTTCAAGGTATAACCTGATTCGCTGTCTCCATAGCCACCTTGGACAAGGGAAATAAAAGATTCATTTCAGAGCAGCACAAGAAAGATTATATATTGAAACAATTACATCAAATAGACAAACCAATCATTTTATGAAAAAATAATTTATGCCTGAAAAAACAAACTGAAGAAAGTCAAGAAATGGCCTGTTTAAGGCAGGTATCTCTTAAAAGTAGAATTACATCTTTATTTTTCTTTGAAAATCCTGAACGGATTTATTTTTTAAATATATTTATTTTCTAAATATTTTAATATTTTAAAATATATTTAAATTTATTTTTAGTTTTCAATATTTCCTTCCACAAGATTTTGAGTTCCAAATTTTCACCCCATCTCCCCCCTCCCCCCACCCCAAGATGGCATGCATTCTGAATATCCCTTCCCCTAGTCTGTCCTCTCTTCTCTCTCCCCTTCTCTTACCCCCTTCCCCTTCTATTTTCCTGTAGGGCAGGATAGACTTCTGTACCCCATTTCCTGTATTTCTTATTTCCCAGTAGCATGTGAAAACTTTTTTTTTAAACATATGTTTTTAAAACTTTAGGTTTCAATTTTTCTCCCTTCCTCCTTCCCCATCCAGCCTCATTAAAAAAGCAAGCAACTCAATATAGGTTATACATGTGCAGTTATGCAAAGCACTTCCATAATAGATATGTTACGAAAAACTAACTCTATTTCCCTTAATCCTATCCTACCCTCCCACTTATTCTATTCTTTATTTTGACCCTATCCCTCCTCATTTATTAAGGAAAGCTCTAGGAAGTCTGTTAAAAAATCTATTGTTATCTCATTAATATAACTAAGCAATGTTTTCCTGAGTTCCAATTCTAATTGAGATAACAATATGGTGCATTTAAATTTAAATAGTAATTTCAATGAAATTTCTACTTAAACCTCCCCCAAGTTTTCATTCCCCAATTCTTCAATGCTAACTTCAAGAAGAGGTACAAAAACTGCACACGCACATGTAAAATTTAATGAGATCGATCATTCTAAGAAAGCTTCTTCTTAAGTATAAATATTTCAGAAAGGTACCCAAACTCTTTGGAGGGACAAGAATATTATCTGACATTCCTGCGCAGTAATTAAACTAATAACAAACAGTCAAATTAGATTTAGTGTGGCTTTATGAATACTCCAGGGAATAGTTTCCTCAACGAGAGCTATCCTAGAAAAATATAAAATTGCAAGACTAACCTGTTCACCTTCAAATAAACTTAGGCCTTCTTCTTGACATATCTGGCTACCTAGTACTTCATAAGAGTAACCTATTGTCATTACTACCACTACTTACTAGAGTGGGAGGGAAGTATCTGAAAAGTCAAGATGGGACATGAAGAGTAGCACTAGAATTAGAATATTAAAAACTCAACTATTCTTATTGCTAAGGACAAACTGGAGCAAAAGAAAATGAAATCACAGAAAAATGAAAAACCCAATTCTAGCCAATAATTTCAACTATATGACCTACTAAACTACTACAAACATGTACTAAAGTACATTAAATAAAGAATCAAATACAGGGAAACTATTACTAACAGCTACATTAAAATCACATACCAAGTATTTGTCATGGTCATAATTTTAATTATTCCTAAGCAGGGCTGAGGGAAGGCAAATTGCACCCACTTTACTTCGGCGACTCAGTTAATCAGTTACCTTTTATAATGATTAATTTGAAAATGTAATATAATTAGTATTACATCAAGTTACCCAGTTCATATTCAGTAGTGTTAAAAGACTTTTACTTATCTACAAAATAATTTCTACTCATAAAATTTTATCTCAAGAGTTTTTATAAATGTAAAAAGAATAACAAGATAATCCTACCTGAACTCACCACGATAAAGCTTCTGTAGCGCCTCTGGAAAGGAGTGTGTATATCGCACAGGCAGACATAAATGACCCTCAGACCTTTGTTTTATTGATTTAGTAGGTTTGGGGAGAGGAAGAAGAGAGATCTTTCATTTGTAAGAATATTAACATCAAGAATCAGGTAGGTAAAACATTAACATTTATACCAAGTTAATTAGGGTAAACAGAAAACTACTCTCTATTATACACTTCCTAGGGCTATACTGGTGATGCCTATGTTATATAGCAACCTCTTCTTTCTAAATAATTAAGAAAATGTTCGGATAATGAATCATGTTAATGAGAAAGCTCCTAGTTAGGAGCTCCCTAAAAAATTTAGATTAAGTCTGAAAATGAGATGTAATCACAAAGTCTTTAAAGGAATTGTATATAAAAAACAAAAAGCAAACCCACTTTTTCTGTTCCCAGTAAAGAAAACATAAGATACCATTTACCCATCCAATCCTACCTAGCCTTCCTCACAGTCCACTTCCTGCTCTCTACCAGAATACATACACCCTATTAAAACCTTAAACCCTATAACAACTTAACTTTCTATCTTTCTTTTAAAGTTCTCTATAAAACCAATTCTTCTCAGTTTTAACAATAATAAATATGACTCACAAAGCCACAACTAGCCCTGCCATTTACTACCTGTGACTTAACTTCTGTGGCTGTATGTGCCACTTCTATAAAGGAGGGAAACTGGAACAGATGAGCTCCGAGATCCCAGGTCTAGCTCTAAATCTTAGAGTTATTTCACTTCAGTCAGTCAACTGGAATTTATTAAATGCCTATTAATGTGCCAAGCATTTTAAAAAGTGCTGGAGATACAAAGAAAGACGGAAGTTAGTCCCTGCTCTCAAAGAGCTAAGAGTCTAACAGGTGAGAAAACATGTCAACAACTATGTACAAATAAGATAGATTCTGGATAAAATAGGGGTGAGAGAGAGTCTCAGCAGGAAGGCACTAAGCAGGCTTGGGAAAGGCTTCTTGCATAAGGTATGATTTTAGCCGAGACAGAGAAAGCTAGGGAAATCAATCAGGACACAAAGATAAGGAAAGAGCTCTAGACCTGGAAGACAGATGGTGAAAATGCTCAGCCAAAAATGGAGTCACAATTGAAGAACAGCAAGGAGGTCAGTGTCAGTATAAAGGTAAGAGTAAAATGTAAGAAGATTGGAAAGGTTAAAAAAGGTCAGATTAGGAAGGGTTTTAAAAGCCAGAGAATTTTATATTTGATCTTAGAGGTAAGAGGGAGCCACCTGAAGTTACTAAATGGGGAGGAATGAATATGATTAGACCTGTATTTCTGGAAGATCAATCTGACAGCTGAGTAAAGAGTAGATTGAAGTGGAGAGAAATTTGAGTCAGGAAGACCAATCAAGCAGGTGATCTGAATAGCCCAGGCCAGAAGATGTCCTTTATTGAACACATCTGGTTCTAATATCCCTTCAAGCTCTAAAACTATAATTCTGAACACAAATTGCTATTTTTGCCACATTCGCTACATTACCTATATACCTCTCTACTGTTACTTTTCCCTATTGCTGTCTTTGCCAGATTACATACTCCTTTTCTGCACTAAAAGTGAAATATTCATAACTATTTCACTGTCACAAACCTTCTCAAAGCTCAAGTTTGTCATAACTTTTTAAAAACTGAACTTAAACACAACATTTTTAATATTTCATATACACTGTAGAACATAAAGAGGATTGTCAATAAAACAGAAAATCTGTATAATAGTTTGTCTTCTTTCAATGTGTATAATAAATTCAACATAAGGTCAGCTAAGCTGACCTGCTAGTCTACTATTTCTTCTGACTTTTCTGATCTGGGTTTATTTTGGGGGGGAGGGGACAGGAAAAGACCCACTCTCCTACCTCCTTTAAAAACTGAAAGAAAAAAAAACTTACAACAAAAATGTACCTAAATAAATCTTCACATTTGTTATGTCAAAAAATACTATGTCTAATTCTGCATCTTAAGCCACTTATCAAGAAGTAGGTAACATACTTCATCATCAGTCCTCTTGAATTATGGTTGGTCACTGCAACCAGAGTTCTTAAGTCTTTCAGTATTACTTCTCCATGTTGTAATTATCATATAAATTATTCTCCTGGTTCTACTCACTTCACTCTGCATCAATTTACATAAGTCTTCCCAGATTTCTCTGAAATCATCCCTTCTATCATTTTTTACTATATAATATTCCTTTACATTCATATAACTATAACGTGATCAACCATTCTGCAACTGATAATTCTATTTAGTTTCTAGTTCTTTGCAACCACAAAAAGGGCAGCTCTAATTATTTTCGTATGTATCATGGATCCTTTTCTTCTTTCTTTGATCTTATTGGGGTATAAGCCTAGTAGTAGTGGTATTGCTGGGTCACAGGTATGCACAGTTTCATGGCTTTGGGGGAGCAGTTCCAAATTGCTGGACCAATTCACTGCTTCACCTAGAATGGTTCTTCATAGTTTGGACTGGATAGTTTAGGCTTTGGTTTACTGAATGCTATCCTACTATGTTTAATTGTTTCTACATGCATCTAATCCACTCCACTGGCCAACTTTTTTATTTTTATTTTTTGACTCAAATTACCTGCTGGTTGGTCTCCCAGACTCAAGTGTTTTTTGATGATGATTGTTTTGCATATGTAATTTGAGATTTTTTCCCATCAAACTCCCTCACTTATCGCTTTTCCCCCTACTTCGAGAGTCTTATCCTTTTGTTTCTCCAGATATATTCATTTTTTAAAATAGGATTTTGTGATTATTGTTTTGAGTATATAATCTGTGAACTGGTCCTATTAGATTCCCTCATTTCTCACTCTCCCCCCCTAACTACTTCCTGAGAGTCTTGTCCTTCTGTTTCTCCAAATATGTTAATTATTTGTTTTTATAGCTAATGTAATCCTTGGGGCAGCTCAGTGGTACAGTGGATAGAGCACTAGGCCTTGAGTGAGGAAGATCTGAGTTCAAATTTGGCCTCAGACACTTACTAGCTGTGTGACCTTGAACAAGTCACTTAATCCTGTTTGCCTCAGTTTTCTCATCTAGAGGAGCTAGAGAAGGAAATGGCAAACCACTCCAGTATCTTTACTAAGAAAACTCCCACAGGTAAGTCCACAGAATCACAAAGAGTAGGACATGATTGAACAACAACAAAGGCAATGCTTTGTTAGTTTGACTGACATAGCACTGGATAAAGAAATTAATTCGTTTTGGCAGCTGCACTATAATGGATTAGCCTACCCATGAGCAATGAATATTTGTCCATTTAGATCTCTGTCAATGGTGTTTTAGTTATATTTATTCAGTTCCTTTGTGTGTCTTGGTAGGTAAACTCACGTATTTTACATATTATCTAGTTAATATGAATAGAATTTCTATTTCTACCTCTTCTAGTTGATTTTTTTTTATAATACACACAAATGTGGAAGGTTCGTGTGGATTTATTTTACATTCTGCAACTCTGTTGAAGTTCCTGTTTCAATTAATTTTTAATTGAACATCTAGTTCTCTAAGTAAATCAAATATACAAAAATTTGTCTTTTCCTTTTAACTTTCTCAATTTCCTTCTCTTGTCTTATTGCTTCAGCTAGCACTTCTAGCACTGTATTTAATAGTAATGATCTTATAGGACACACTTGTTTTACTACTGTTATCAACAGAAAGGCTGCTATACTTTTTCCTCCATTAGATATGAGGTTGGCTCTTGGCTTTAGATAGATACTACTTACCAAAATATGGAAAGGCCCATTCATTCTTATGCTTTTTTGGTTTTTGCTAGACAATATGTTGTATCTTATCAAAAGTTTTTTCAACACCTATTGATACAATCATTTGATTTTTATTGTTAATATTATGTTTATAGTGTTCCTAATATTAAACCAACACTGTATTAATCCAACATAGTCATAGTGAATAAACTTCTTAGGTGTTACTGTAGCCTCTTTACTAATATTTTACTCAAAATTATTAAGTAATTGTTCATTAGTAATATTTATTTTTTTCTGTTTTCTCTACCTGACTTAGGTATCAAAATCACATTTTTATCCAAAAGTCTGGTAAGATCCCTTCTCTTATTTTTGCAAAAAGGTTATATAATATTAGATTTAATTATTCTTTGAATGTCTGATAGAATTCACTTGTGCTCTTGTGTTTTTTAAGAGTACATTTATGGCTTAATTTCTTTTTCTAAGAGTGCATTATTTAAGTTCTCTTTCTTGTTCTGTTATTCTAGGTATTTTAAATTTTTGAAAATATTCATTTATTAAGTTGTCAGTATTATTGGCATAGAATTGGGCAAAATAGTTTTTAATAATTTCCTTTATTTCTTCATTTGTTGCATTTTCCCTCCATTTTTAATACTGGTAATTTGGTTTTCCTATCTTTGATTTTCATGATTTCTATTTTGGTGTTTAACTGGAACTTTTTAGTATGTTGGTTTTCTAAGATTTTTTTTAAAGTTTCATGCCTTTTTTCTTGATCTGCTATCTCTTTTGTTGATGAAAGTGCTTGGAGATATAAAATTCCCCCTAAGAACTGCTTTGGCTGCACCCCATTCCTCACCCCCAAAAAAACAGATACACTGTCTCATTGTCATTTGCTTTGATGAAATTACCTCTTGCTTCTATGATTTGTTCTTTGACTAAAAATCCTTTAGGATTATTTAGTCTCAAGTTTTAATTCTTTCTTCAATAACCCTTTATCCACCATAGTTTTTACTGCACTATGATCAGTAAAAGATGCAGTAAGTTCTGCTTTTCTACAATTGTGAGACTTAGATGTTGTAATAACAGTCAATTTTTGTAAAGGTGCCATTTTTTCCCTTGTAAGATTATACTCAATTTTTCTGGGTAACCTATTCTCAGTTACAAGTCCATGGTTTTTTGGTCTTTTAGAATACATTTCAAGCTCTCTTTCCATTAAGGATGGTAGCTGCCAAAAACCTGTGTGAGCTTGATTATTGCTACTCCGCACATAAATACTTTCCTTATGGCTATTTGCAATAGTTTTCTTTGATCTGGAAACTCTAGATTTTGATTGATATTTCTAGGAGTTTTCATTTTGGGGTTTCTTTCATGAGATGAATGGTGGATTTGTTCTCTTTTCACATCGCTATCTGTTTCTAATAAATTCAGACAGGTTTCATTTGCAATTTCTTGAACTATGGTATCTGTGTTCTTTTTTTATCATGACTATCAGGTAGTCCAACAATTCAAAGATTTTTTTTCTTCTCAAACTATCTTTCAAGTTAGTTGTTTTTTAATGAGATACTTTATATTTTCTTTTCGGTTTTTTTTAGGTCTTTTGACTTTAATATTTCTTGTTTCACTGAATCATTAACTTCTTTTGTTCATTCTAATTTTTCACTGAGATAGTCTGTTACTTGGGTAAGGCTTTTGTCCACTATACAAAGCTGCTGATTCTCTTTCTAAATCGTCCACTCATTTTCCCCCAATCCTTTCCTCCAGACCTCTCATTTAATTTGTAATATCATTTTAAAATTCTTCCTTCATTTTGTCCAGGAATTCTAGCTATCTGTTGCCAAACTGTTTTCCCTTGAGGCTTTTTTGTGGATGCTGGAGTACTCACCCTCTGCTTCTGGCTTTGGGCATTGTATATCCCTGGCTCCTAAACAGTTCTTATTCATCAGGGTTGGGTTTTTTTATTACTCTTTTTTCCAATCTTACTTCTAGAATTAAGACTTTATGTTAGGACAAGGCTCTATGTACTTTGGGAGGGAATACTGGGGCTTGTTTCTTCCTGATCTATGTTACATGAGAGTCTTCTACTTTCTCCTAAGATTGAGTGTTGTCTTCTTCAAAGATCTCAGGAGTGACTCATGCCAGGGAATTGCAAAATCTCAGCACTCCCTAAACAGTCTGATCTAAGGCACAGTCTCATCACTGCCCTCCATCCTGAGCTCTGCAGGTTTCCCATTCTGAATGGAGCATCAATAGACAGCCACTGGTCCTAGGCTCAGTTAGCTAGTCAGAAGACTCTGCAGTTTCAGAGCAACAGAACTGCAGGCTCACCCCCACTCCTGGCTCCCTGCCCTGCTTACTCAACTATAGGATCCAAGCCTTAATCTGTGGGCCAAATCTGGATTCTGCTCTGTGGTCAGAACAACAGAGCTGTCAAATCATCCCTGTTCCACAATATCTGTCTTAGTACAGAGCTGCAGGTCCCAGCCTCCATTCTTCCTCAATCCTGCTCCATAACAGGAATACAGTATAGGCTCACCATTAGTCTATGCTGCTACATAGCCAAAGGCTATAGCCCTTGTCTAGGTTGGAAGGTTCCAGAATCCTGCTCCTCAGTCAGAACAACACAGCTTCTAGCTTGCCTCTATTACTCCTGCTCCCTACCAGAGCCCTACAGTCATAGGGGAGGGCAGCCACTCAGGAAGCTTTCTGCAGTGCCTCCCAGCAGGATGGGACCCGTAGCTCTGTACTCAGGCAGGGAGCAGGAAAAAAGAAAGATAAGGAAGAAAAGGAATATTAAGCTGAATGAATTATTAGATTAATTAGACCTGACTGACCTATGTCTGACAACTTATGTCTGAATTAGGTTACAAAAATCAGTTATGTGCTAGGGCAAAAAAGGAATCATAAAAGTGATGCTTGAATTTCATAGGTTTTATATTTGTACCTCATTTCAAGGGTTAGGCATCTTTCATTAAGAGTAATAATCAATAAGGCTTTTGTTAAAAAATTAAGCAACAATCACAACAGCTCAACTCAAACATTTATTTACATAGCACTGGACTAGTTATACACACATAGTACTTTACGTGTATAAAGTGCTTTCTAAATTTGATGTTATTCTTGCAATATCTAGAACACACAGACACATCTATAAATATATATATTTTTGTTGCATGGTCCATTTGTCTTCACTGAAATGAACTATGAGTGTTCCTAGTTCCAGCCTGTATTTTTCTCTTCTACTGAGCCTACTTTGCTATCATCTAACTTATAAACACCCAAATGAGTCAACTGAATATTCAGAAATGGAATAAAACTGTAGCAGGAGGAAATGAAGCTGGGTTTTAAAGATTATAAGATACCACAACCTGCTCCTAAGAGAGACCAAGTATAGTAAGTAGCTTAAGGAAACAAATGTTTAGCTATCTTTGTGCCTGAAGGCAAGGAGACAGAAGGACTACTCTCTGAAGTAATTACTGACATAGACACACTCTCACTCTCCAAACTAGCTTGGCAAAACAGATTCCCACTGTGGAAACTAGCTCTTCCCTCAGTGAGGATTCTCCACCACTCAACCCAGCTAGAACCATACTTTCCTCCCATGAATTAGTTATTAATCTGAACCAGCTGAATGAAAGGGAACTCTACTAAAGCGAATGCCCAACTCTCTGTGCAAGAATCCTCACTCACAGGCAACAGACAATCCAAATAATTTTGGATCCCCGCTCCATTCCATACAGCAACTTAAAAACCAAGAACAATGCTAACCTTCCTAAAAATACTTCTCACTTTAGCGATTCGGCCCCAACCCAAATTACTAATATAGTAGGTTGGAGGAAGGCGTAAAAGACTAACTCCTGATACATGAGAAGATCAAAGGGGATAACGTGTGTGAATCAGCACGAACTGACATAATTTTCTTATTTAGCAATGTTCGTTAATTTTTAAAAATGAATTTACTTTCCTGTTTTCCTTACCGTTCTGGATCAGTGTTTACTCCAATAACTGGTTTAAACCTGTCCAAGACCTTACTGGCTGCCAGTAGCATTGTGCCATCACCTAGGAAACATGATAAGGCAAAATTAACCTCTCCCATTTGTGTTAAAACCAGTTGTTGATACCAAAACTCAGGTACTATTTTCTCTTTTGTCATTCCTCATCCACTCCTCCCCAACATATTTTTTAGTTTATCTTCCAGCCTATTCCCATTCGTTCCTTACCTGTTCATCACTCACTTAATGAGGAAATACACTGCAATTAATAATAACAATCTGCTGCAGATCTCTCTTGACAATATCATTCATACAGTCTTTGCATTAATATCCACATTGATCAATAACCAACTCAAGTATCAATCAATCAACAAGCATTTATTATAAGCACTTATACTATATAGCAGGCACCATACTAAGAATTGGGGATACAAAGGAAGGCAGAAACACTGTCCCTGCCCTCAAAGAGCTCACATTTTAAAGAAGAGAAACATACAAATAACTATTAGATACAAAATATATTCAATGTAAGTGGCAGGTAATCTCAGAGAGAAGGCATTATGGAGAGAAGGGATGAGGAGTATCCTGTCAGATACTGGAAAGACCTTTTCGGTAAACTTAGCCTATGAAGAAGGAAGCCAGAAGACAGAGATAAAGAGAGCAGGTATAAGCGACAGCCAATGAAAAGGCACAGGCTCAGGAGATAAAAACAACGCTATTGCCAACATCTACACAGCACTTTAAAGTTTCTTATTTTATCCTCACAACAACCCTAAGGGGTAGGTGCTATTTATCTCCATTTTACAGACAAGGAAACTGAGGCAGAGAGGTTAAGTGATTTGCCCACAGTCCTACCTAGCCAATGTCTGAAGCTAGATTTGAACTCAGGTCTTCCTGATTCCAGGTTCAGCATTCCATCCTCTGCACCACTTAGCTGAAGGTACTATATCTTGTGTGAGGGACAATAAAAAGGTCAGTGTTACTGGATCACAGAGTACATGGAAGAGACTAAAGTGTGAGAAGACTGGAAAGGGAAGAAAGATCCAGGTTGTAAAGAGCTATAAAAGCCAAACAGAAGATCCTGGAGGTAATAGAAAAACACCCAAGTTTACTGAATGTGGTGACACAGCCAGAAATGGGCTTTTAGAAGGCTCTGGCAGACAAATAAAGAATGCAGCAGAGTTGGATATGTGTGTGGTTTTTCGTCTTTGTTCTTTTTGGGGTGGGAAAGGGGAGAGCTGTGCAATTTTTCCAAATTAATTTTACAAAACAAATTATTTTTACAAAATGTTTTTAAAAGAAAAAGCTGACATATGTAAATCCTAATTACTCCAGCAAACCATTTGACTCACACTATATGTAAAATACTTTCATTCTTTGAAAAATACATACCACAACACAATAATAATGCAAAACTCTTTATATGGCACCTATGTGTTGGCTCTTTAATTGTTGAGAAATCATAATGATCTCATATGGCCCTGACAGTTCTACTATGCAAAGGTACAGTGTATTTTCAAATACATTTAGCAAACAAATGTTTCTACATCCCCCACCATGCTTGTCCTATAAGAATATTACCTCCTGCAGCTATAACAGCATCTGCCCATCGAACAGTCTCTTCATCATATTCTCTCCTCTTCACTAAACGAACTTCAATTCCCTCATTCCTAAGCAGTACAAGAAAGGAACAAAATCTTACTCTAATTATTATGTATTTCATTGCTTCAAATTTTCCAGAATAAAACACAAAATAGTAAGACTGAAAAGTCTTATTTTAACTATTAACTAAGGTTTAGGGATCAAAGCGACTTCCTTTACCAACCAAAAAACTTATACCAAAACTGAACAGCTTGATTTCTGGCGTGTTAAGTAAAAGGAAATCAACAGAAAGCTTACACTTAAGGGAGGAAACAAAAAGCATAAAACTTGATCAGCGGTCACTGAATTTCAGTATGGAATGCTATTATGCTGCTGTTTCAAATTACAAACATATAACTTCATTTATCCATGTTGCTAAATCCTAAATTTCCAGTGATTTTTACATCACTTACATTCATATCCAACAGATTACTTAAGGTGCTGTACAATCAGAATGGTTATTTATCACCATAAACTTTTCATAAGAATATTCTTCTTCCTTAATTTACAGATAGTTTTTTAAAGGAAAAAAAATTTGAGTTTTTCCTTTTTAATATTTTTAAATGGCAACATTAATGCTACTAACTTTTTAAAAAGCTTACAAATCTAGCCTCTGAATTTCCAACTGCCATCTGTGTTATAACTCCTCTGGTTGCTGACCTTAAAGGACTAGACTAGGGTTAGTATTATGCAGTGAAAGGAGTACTGTACTAGATTTAAAGTCATAGAACTTGAGTTCAAATTCTGTTTCTATAACTGACTACCTGGGTGACACTGGATAAGCCCCTTAACTTCTCTGGGACCCAGGTTTGGTAACTTAATACATAAATGTTTGAAGCCCATGAGCCAAAAGTTTATCCAAGTTTTTCAGAAATCTTACCGTAAACTATCCAGAATATGTTCCACATTCTTGGTATGAATATGATGCCGCTCAAGTAATCCATTGTAGCTGGATCCTTTTAGTGCAAGCTATAGGAAAAATAAATTACCCATTATAGTATTAGAAGAAAAATGTCTAAAAACAATCCAGGTACAATATAAAACTTTTTATTTACCACAATAAAGTCAAATTCATCTGGGGGAGGGCAGTGAGAGTAGAAATTATGATTGCCCATAAAGCTGCATTTAATAAATTAAAATTTGTATACCCTATACTAAGATAAAGTCAAAATGGGTATATGATTTAGATATAAAGACTGAGACTATAAGCAAACTAGGAGAGCAACAAATAGTTTACCTATCAGATCTACGGAAAAGAGAAGAATATATGACCAAACAAGAGATAGGGAACATTATGAAATGCAACATGGATAATTTTGATTACATTAAATTGAAAAGTTTTTGCAACCAAAGCCAATGCAACCAAGATTAGAAGGGAAGCAGAAAACTGGGAAAGAATTTTTACAACCAGTGTCTCTGATAAAGGCCTCATATTTCCAAAATATAGAGAGAACTAAGTCACATGTATAATAAGAATACAAGTCATTCCCCAACTGATAAATGGTCAAGGATATGAACAGGCAGTTCTCAGAGGAAGAAACTAAAGACATATGGAAAAAAAAAGCTCTAAATCACTATCGATTAGAGAAAGGCAAATCAAAACAACTCTGAGGTACATCACATCTATCAGATTGGCCAACATGAGAAAACAGGATAATGATAAAGGTTGGAGAAGATGTGGGAAAATTGGAACACTAATGCATTGTTGGTGTTGTAGTGAACTGATCCAGCCATGCTGGAGAATAATTTGGAACTATGCCCAAAGGGCTATAAAATTGTGCATATCCTTTGAACCAGCAAGACCACTTCTATGTCTGTATCCCAAAGAGATCATAAAAACAGGAAAAGGACCCACATGTACAAAAATATTTATAGCAGCTCTTTCTGAGGTGGCCAAGAACTGGAAATTGAGGGGATGCCCATCAATTGGGGAATGGCTGAAGAAGTTGTGGTATATGAATGTAATGGAATACTATTATGCTATAAGAAATGATGAGCAGGGAGACTTCAGAAAAACCTGGAAAGATTTATATGAACTGATGTCAAGTGAAACGAGCAGAACCAGAAGAACGTTATAAACAGTACAGCCACAATGTGTGATGACAGACTTTGATAGATGTGGCTCTTCTAAGCAATGTAAGGATCTAAGACAACTCCAAAAGACTCATGATGGAAAATGCTATCCACGTCCGGAGAAAGAACTACGGAGTCTGAATGTAGATGGAAGCATACTTTTTGCTCCCCTTTTGTTGTGTTGTTTTTTATTGCTTCATTCTCATGGTTCCTCCCATCAGTTCTAATTCTTATTTACATCATGACTAATGGGAAAACATGCTTACAGCCTATATCAGAGATTGTTCTCCGTCTTGGGAAGGGGAGAAGAGGAGAAGGAGGAGAAAATTTAAAATTCAAATCTTATAGAAGTGAATGTTGAAAACTAAAAACAAATTGTTAAAAGAAATTAAAATTTGGTTTTAATACAAAGTTGACATTTACTTCCAACTATAACTCTGAACAATAGCAACCACAAAATCTCATAACTAAGACAAACATGGATACCTAAATTCTAGAAGTAGCTTGTCTATTTTCTTGCTTATTTCCCCCCTCCATTTTTGCCGTTGCTATGTACGGTCCAAAAGTCACTGACAAGTATATGTTATGAAAAGTACATGAAACTGGCTTAACTAGAGGCTAAAGATAAATTTCTCAAGTAATACTATAGGACACATGGTATTGTTTATATAATTATGTTGTAATAATTTACACTATACCATTAATTATTTAGGCTATTAATTAGTATAGCACTATTTTGGGGAATATTTTAAGATTTAAAATGAAGTATTAATATACATTAGAAGAATAATTGTAACACTAAAAGATGATAGCACTCAAAGCTAAAAGGGACCTTAGAGATCACCTCATTCAGCCTCCTGATTCTTTTACATGAGGAAACTGATACTAAGAAGTTTAAAGACTTGACCACAGTTCCACCAGTAAGCAAGCAGCAGAGCAAGCAAGGTCAAATGCATTATTCTGTTTAAAATTTACAGCTATCTCTAAAAACTAAGGAATGAAAGACATCTTTAATCATGGTAAAAGACTCCATTTTATTAATATGTTCACCTTGATCACCTGCTGAATTTTCAAACATGCCCTAATCCTACTTCCTGCTTTCAAATTCCTGTCACAATTTGCTTAAGAGCAAAATGTCACTTTTTCTAGTCCTTTAACTGATGGCAATAAGATTTTTAAAGTCATCAGAATTAGATATCTTTAACAATGTCTTGCAAATAAAGACAGATTTTTCAAGGAAATTAGTGCTTTTTAGAAGTACAGAGGCCATGACTCATCAGATGAGTCAAAAAATAATGAACAGGTATTACTTGACATTTATGTAGTGCTTTTAAACTTTATAAGGCACTTTATACATATTATCTCATTAGATCCTTACAACAGCCTGAGAGGAATCCCTATTTTGCAGATAATGAAAATGAAATTTAGAGAGGTTAAAATAGCTATTCCAGGGGCAGCTAGGTAGCACAGTGAATAGAGCACCAGCCCTGTAGTTAGGAAGACCTGATTTCAAATCCGGCCTCAAACACATAATACTTCTTAGCTGTGTGACTCTGGGCAGGTCACTTAACCCCAACTGCCTCACTAAAAAATTAAAATAAAATAAAATACTTAAAATAGCTATTCCACTAGCAACTGTAGGAAGTAATATTTAAACCAGAGTCTCTTGACTCCAAATCTGGTGCTCTTTGCATTACATCACAATATCTTACCACAGTGTTTAGTTTTAGGTTTCATTGTATCCAAATACAGGTCAAATATCAATTAGCAAGAATGCACTTATTAATTGACTCCTAAAGTTCTTTTCAATGCTGAAATTCTTTGCCGTCATCAAGAACACAGTGCAAAACATAGGGTGAATCCTGTGACTGAACACTTTTTTCACTTAATACAGAAAAATAAAAAGAAATCATCTAGAATGAGATTAGCAAATTATTTCCATATGGTAGAAATTGCAGCAGAGATAACACAGTAATGGCCAAACTGCTGTTATCAATGCCTAACTGTAGACTAATTGAATTGTGAATTAACTATGTGACTTAGATCTGCTGAAACTTTCACCTTTAATGTATCAATCAACATTTATTAAGCGCCTACTATGTTCCAGTCACTGTACTTTATAAATGCTGGATAAAGATTCTTCAAAGCAAAAACAATAAAGACAGGTGACTGCAAACCACCATCTTAAGTTATCCAAATTAATGTCTTCCTTAGCACAGATAAAATGACTATATTTCTATCATGATGCTCCTTTGACACTATCCCAGTACAAATACAGTTTTCTTTTAAATCACATAAGAGATTAACTCTTTAAGGACCAAGGCACTTTAAAAAAAATTTTTAACCAATTTTTGACTGGAATTTTTCTAAAAAGATTATTAAATATTTTTCTATCTCCTTATGGGCTTATACTAAATATAATTTAACTTTGATTTTTAAATTCTGACTCAGTGGAAAGAATCTGCAACTTTGGGCAAGTGACACTGTACTTCTCTAGTAAGTCTCAGCTTCTGTTTTCTCATCTGGAAAACAGAGTTAACTATATTTGTACTACCTACTTCAAAGAGCTGTTTTGAAGAATCATCAACCTCAATTACTATGTTACACTATCACAGTGGCTATGCTTTTTTAAAGTTCTGGTATTTACTTTGTAATAAGTTTTTGTTGTTATTAAATTAGAAGCCATCAATTCTTGTTTTGTCTATGTAAACACTATGCATGTATATGTATGCATACACATACATGCAAATAAAAACATTTCCATCTCCTAACAGCAACTATAACTGCTCCAGATTATCTTATTTCTAGCTTCTAATCTGCCCTGGGATCAGAACCTGCACAATCAAACCTTTCAGAACTGTAAAATATCCCAACAGCAACTGGTTAAGAAAAAAAGAAAATACATTTTTTCCAAGAGTGAAAACTTACAGCTGTACCACTTAATGAAAATAGCTAAAAGTTCAATAGCTCTTGACATGAACTTCATGTTTGTAGATTTTTCCAGTTGTAGAATCAAATAAATAAAAAAGGTGACTCTGAATGGACTTGGTGCACTTAATGATATTATGTCCGAAATACTCTAAAATCTGTTGTTTTCCTTTAACAAATTATCTTTGTTCTTGAAGAAAACCTAGTTATCCACTTTGTTACTCAAATAGCAACATGCAGAGTTGAACAGTAATGTCTTTGTAAGAGTTATATAAGCAGCAAATAGACATCCTGTAAAATGACAAGTACTTTGTTTCCAGCACATAAAGAGAATTCAAAGAGTTTATGGATGATGATAAATGGTCATGGAGACGGTAAATGACTAATCTATTGCCTGAGTAGAAGTTAGATACTTAGAATGCTCATTATAAATTTAATAAATTACTAAATGATGAAGTAAATGGTACTTTTTTAGTAACCTAAAAAGTTAATGACTTCTAACATAATATTTAGTTTAAGTAGCAAGTTACTCAGCCAGAATGATCAGGCTCAATGTACTAAATTCTAAAAATATCTATTTATATTTTATTTTCCAGTTGTCCTTCCTTTTAACTGGACCTGCTAGGAAAAGGGAAAGGAAGAAAATACTGCAATGGGTAATGTTCACTGATGGTTTTTTTAATCAAATCAATTTAAATTCTTTTTTTTTTGAGGTTTTTTTTTTAATTAATTTATTTTGATTTATCAACAATCACTTCCATATGCTTTTGAGTTTTAAATTTTTCTCCCCCTCCCTCCTTACCACCCTCCCTAAGATGGCGCACAATCTGATATAGGCTATACATATACATTCCTATTAAAAATATTTTCACATTAGTGATGTTGTAAGAATTAGAACCAATAGGAGGAAACATCAGAAAGAGGAAACAAAACACAACAGGAAAAAAAAAACAGCAAACAGTATGCTT